GAGAGAAATCCCAAACCCAGTGAGAGAAATACAGAATTAGACAAATGATTTGGATTAAAGGCGGCTGGAAGGTTGTGTCAGGCAGTCACTGCTGTGGGAAGAGTTAGGACCAGGTAGGACCTGAGCTTTCTGCACTGCGTGGGCTTAGGAGCATAGACCTTGGTCTTCCTCCCGGGCTCTCCAGCCAGCTCTCTTCCTCGCACGCAGGACAAGGGGCTCATCCCTAAGAGCCACTTTTGGCAAGTTGCACCCGTGCCACCCGGCCCTGGAGGCTACAGCCCCTTGCGGGGCACAAACTGGGCCAAACTGGAGAGGTGGGGAGAGCGCTCTGGATCCCGGCCCTCCCGCAGGCTCAGGGCAGGGGTTTGCTGCTCTCCACGGCCGAGCTGCCCCAATCTACACCAGCCCCTGGCGCTCTGGAGTTTCCCAGCCTCGCTGAGCAGCAAACGCTCTTGGGCTTATCTCCGCATCAGAGCAGTTGGAAGACAGTTGAGTGTCTCTCTAAGTGCTGATAGAAGGGAAGGCTTTGCTCTTGGAGATAAGAAGCCCTCCCTGAGGAGCCAGGGGAGTTCGTTGCTATCAGGGTGTCTTCCAGCACTTCGCGGACGTACCCTGTGTACGTGCGAGATGGCGAGGCGGTCACGTAGGCACCAGACACCGAGGGCTGTGTTTTTGAGGTCAGTTAACTGAACCCCTCGCTATCATCTATTTTCTCTTCCCTAGAATTATTTTTCTCCTGTTGATCAAGCCGTTGCGGTGGCCTCGTTGGCTCGCCAAGCTGTAAACCGTCGAATCCTCGTCTTTTTTGAGATAAATTCAGGAGAGATGGGCGCTTCGGGGAGGTATTTCAGCCTAAAATTTTAAACAGCTTAACAGCTCCCTTTTTCTGCCCTCTGTGCATGCTCGAGATGTTCCCCAGCTCCTGCTGCGGGTTATAGAAGACTCCGTTTCATAAACAGCCCCTTGGTTGGGCTGGGGGGAACCAGGAGCGTCTGGAGCGACACCCTTCAGTGCCGCCTCCTGAGCTCCCTGCGTCATCCCACGGCATCTCTGGGGGTTACGTGTCACCTGATGCTCAGGTAGCAGGAAAGCTGAATGTCTAAGCCACCTTGATCCGGAGGAATTCGATCTATCTCATTGCCGGGATCAGGTAATTCGGGCGAGTGCCATAATCAGGGCACGCACAGAGAGGCTGTTGCAACGTTCAAAGCGTTTGAAAACAAGGTCAAATATTTTGGCGAGGCAGAGGCTGTTGTTACACAATGCTGCTCTTGCAGTTTCAGTATACATTATATGGGGGAAAAAAAAAAAAAAATTAAAAATTTCCTTTTTCATTTTAAACTTGCTGCCCGGTCATTTTCTTGGGCCCTTCCCAGCCCGGTTGCGCAGAAGGCTGAATGCCCTCCACAGGCAGCTCACGCTCTAAAGCCCCGCTCTGTTTTCCCTCCCTGTTTACACCCAAGGGAAGCTGCCACATTTCTAAATATAGATCTTTTCATCCAAATAAGGGGGCGGGGAGAAAAACTGAAATATTAAAAAAATAACCCAGCTGTGAGGCAGAAATCTAAAAGCGGTGCAAAAGCGTGTTCAGAGGCGAAACGGCAGCGCAGAATCCGCCCCCCCGCCCCGGCATCATGTCCTGCAGCTCCTCGGTGGAAACCCTCTGCCATCTGCCGGCACAAGGAGAGCCTGGGGTAGAGCCGTTGTCTCACAACACGGGACAACAGGCATCTCGGAAGGATAGAAACCCCTGTCTGGGCGAAGCGTTCCCTATTTGGGTGTCGGAAAGGGCACAAAATCCTCTGCACGCCCTCCAGCCTCTGGGCAGTGTGGAGGGCCCGGGTTTTTAGCAACGCGGCTCTCGGCCAGGGGTTTGCGCGGCGAGGGCGATGCTGCGGCTCCAACACCTCCGTGCAGGCGTTGCCACACCAGCACGACTCTGCTTTCAACACCTTTACCCCCAGCCCCGAGGAGCGCGTGCGTCCCCGCGCAGGACTACAAGCGGGGCAGCCCAGGGTAGCAGAGCCGGCGCGACCTGAAAAGGTGCAACGGGGACTGTAACCACCTTCCAGTTCCCCGTTCTTGCTCCGAGGAAGCCTCGCCCTGTACTTCAGGGCCAAAATTTTTAAAGATTTTAAATATTCAGCCAGGACTCAAACCCTGTCAGGGAAACCCTGCAGCCGCACCTCAGCGTGGGTTTAGTTCTGGCCTTTGCTACTCAGCTGGAGCTCCCTGAGCTGTCCTAACCCCGCAGGCCCCGTTGTCAGAGCAGCTTGTCAAGGCTCTGTCCCTCCTGCTTCACCCTGCAGGTGACTTTTGGGGGGGTTCAGAGCCCCTTCATTGTGCCCGACGAGGCTGAGAGTCGGGATTTTTGTTCTTCCTTTTCCTGCTTGACAAAGGGCTGCGAGCCCGCTGGCCTCTGCCTTTCCTAATCAGTTCGTTGGGTTTTAGAAAGGTTCTTTATTCCTACAGACCACGCCAGGTCTCCCTGCTGCTCGATTACGGCAAGTGCAATAGCTGTTACAAAGGAAGATGAAAACCAGGGCTCAGCCCTCCAGTCTTGCCCAGTAACAGCCCGCTGTGGGGAAAGGAACAGACTGGGGAGGAAGAGCAGCAGGTCCCTTCCCGAGGCAGCCGGGGGGGGGGGTTTACGGTAGCGGGCTGGTTCAAGCCCCCTCCCCTCCCGAGCGGGCAGCGGAGGAACTTTGCGACAGACGAGTGTTTTTCCAAACTCGGGAAACGTCTGGGCCAATAAACCAGGATTTCCTCTCAATCAGCTCCGAGAATTCGATCAGCGTTATTTGATGTAACGCAACGGGTTTGGAGCCAAGGGCTGTTCTCCAGAGCGAGTTGTGTTTTTCTTCGCTGCGTCTTGTTGCAGCTCTTTCGCTTTTCCTTCCCACCGTTTATCTTTCACAACACCAAGCCTTGCCTGTACTTCCTGTTTGGCTCTGTGGTTGGTAATTTTCTCATTTGCTGTTATTTTTGACTTCCATCCAAGCTTTGTATGATATTAATAGCCATTTCACAGAACCGTAATCTTCCTCAAAGCAGTCCTAATATTAGCAGGAGAACAAGCCAAGAGCCGAGGCCTCAAGGGACTCGAGCTCTGAGTTTCTCCTCGGTTCTGCCGGCGCTGCCCACAGCCCAGCTCAGCCCCTGCCCCAGGGACCCAAAGCTTCTGTCCATCGCCCGACCCACACGGCCCCGACAGGCCACGGAGCCGCAGCTTTGTGCGAGCCAAACGGCACAGAAGGAAGATGCTTACGTGGGGCTTCAACAATTAGAACTTACTGGTAGCCTAATTAATGCCTCGGTCTAATCAAGATGCAGCAATCACTTCCCATTCATCCAGTTACAGCGGCGCTGACAGCTGATACCCAAATTACTCAGTTTCTATCAAAGGTTGTCAGTAATAGGAAAAAAAAACAAACACAATAGACGAAAATATCTGTGCCACGGCTCTGATGATCAATTCTCCCTTCTTCCTTCGCGTTGCTGCAGCGACTCATCAGCATCCTGAGGGGAGAAAAAAAAAAAAAACAAAAAACAAGAGAGATTGGGTTTTTCTTCTTCGTTGCTGGGAAGAATATTGCTTATTTATTTATTTATTTATTTAGTAAGATTGATTATTTCTTCCTCCTCAGTTTAGGGTCTACTTGGAGCTGGTTTTTATGTATTTTCCGTTACTCTCTATACTCGTGTCTGTCTTCAACAACCTGCAGTTCCACGTTACATCCAGATATAGCGGGTATCCGGTGTTTTACCCTTATTTTTTTCCTGTTACTGTTGTCCCAAAATTTGGGTTCTTTGACCCAGCGTGCAACGAGCCAAAGCCTGCACGGAGCGGAGCTATTTGTTTAATCCGTATCCGTGCAGAGACGGGTGCAGGTGCCAATCCCACGACACGAGCCCACTCGCACGCAGGCAAGTGACGTATTTCTACACCTCAAACGGCTGGAACACAAGTGTCAGGCAGTGGCCAGCGCTGAGTTTGTTGTCACTCTGTTCCTCCTGGTTACCATTTAAAGCAGACACAAAGGGCAGGGGCCATACCTGAGGGCTGTTCCTCACCAAGACGTGTGGGGTTTGTTTTTTTCACATTACAATGAGCTAAATTCATCTGAAAGACAGAGCTCGGGCAAGCCTCTATGGTATCTCTGAGCACGTGACCAAGAGAGGTTTCCTTATCCCTGGATTCATGGTTCTGTGCCTTTATCTTCTTCCTTTTGCCAGGCTCTACTATCTTTGAGCCTGTTGTCCCCTCCCACAGCCTTGTCCTGTGAAATGCTTTTGTTTTAAGCTTTGACCATCCTTACCTCTAAGAGTGTTTTCTGTCACCTGCCAATATTGTTCTTCAATAATCAGCGACGGATGACTGAGGAGTCACCCGTCGCCCTGGGGCCACCCCCTGCTCAGTGACCGACCCATGGGCACCGCTCGCTCCTCACGGACTTATCACGGGCACAACCCTTGTACCTCCCCCTTACACAAAACTGAAAATTCAGTCGCTAAAAAAAAAAAAAAAAAAAAAAAAAAAAAATCAAGTGGGTAACAGCCACCTTGTTGCTGGGCGGTTGCTGTTACAGGTAAACAAGCTACACAAACCCCAGCACGGCAGCTCCGGGCGGGTCAGGACAGATCCGGGCAAAACCAGGCTGACAAGCCCCGGTGCCAGGGTCGTACGGAGCCTTGGCAATGTCGGATTCACATTCCGTAGCCCATTATCCTTCTCTTCGCCCACCTCGAACCCGTTATTTTTGAAAAGCTTTCATGCTAACAAAGTCCTTTTCAGCAGGGAGAAGGTCCCGAGGGCCACTGGATTTCCTTTCTTGTCTACCCAGGCCTCAGCCCCATTTTGTGGAAGGAAGATACCAGCTTCGAGGCAGGAAGACACCAGAATAGTTTCTTTTCCGTTTAAGCTTCTCTCTTTCAGTTTAAAAAAAAAAAAAAATCAGACCCTGGCCAGAAGTGCTATCTCTGAGGCAAGAGCTCGCAGAGTCGGTGCTGCCCGTGCTCGTGGAGGAGGCGCAGCCCCAGGCACCGCTCCCGGACGGTGTCACTACACCCACGGCAATGATGAGGTAAGCGCACAGTTTCTGTTCTCGTAGCGGCTCCCCGAAAAAGGGGGGGTTGGATTGCCAAGGCTCAGCAGTGTCCTTCAGAATCACAGGATGGGCAAGGTGGGAAAGGACCGCGGGAGGTCACCGTGTCACCCACCCAGAGCAGGTTGCCCGTGCCCACGTCCTGGATGGGCTTTTGAGTATCTCCAAGGATGGAGAAGGAGCCACAACCTCCCCGGGCACCCTCTGCCCATACTCTGTCATCCTCAGAGCTCAGAGAAAAGCTTCCTGCTGTCCAGGTGGAGCCCCGTGAGCTTCAGTCTGTGCCCGTTGCCTCTTGTCCTGGCTCTGACCCTTTGCACCCTCCCTTCAGGTGTTTATATACATTTCTAAGAGCTTTCTACAGGCTGAAGCGTCCCAGCTCTCAGCCTCTCCTCACACGCTCCAGGCCAGCATCTTCACGGCTCTTTGTTGGACTCTCTCTTCACCGAACCATCTCCTGCTGCACCCTTCAGATGACGGCACAGCCCCCCTTTCCTCCCCCTGGGGAGCTCAGAGGGTTTGATCCTGTGGTTTTGGCTCACAGCTCAGCCCAGGGCCTTTGTCTTAGGTAAGATGAGAGAGCAGCCCTGGCTCCAGGCACTGGTGACTCCCCTTTGCAGAAGAACAAGCCAGGAGTGAAGCCTCCCAGACAGTGCCCTGAAAATGGGTTGATCAGAACAAAGATTTACAAGTTCTGCAGCAGGCTGAGTGCAAGGGACACACAGAGCAAGCGGGGAGAGCCCCATCTTCCACCCCTCCCTCCTTTTTTTTTTTTTTTCCTGTACAACCAAGAAGCTCCTTTCTCGCTCCTTGTGGGTATCACCTCCCCACACACGCTGCCTCTTCATAACCCACATATTCCTCTTTGTAGCAAGGAGGAACTGAAGGAGAAGCTGGATGCCCTTCAATGCCATTTCACCTGGCATTTGAGCGTAAAGGGCCACGTCGCACCTTCCCACGTCCTGCAGAAGCTGGCTGTCGAAATCAAACACACGGTCCACCCAAACCGGGCAGCTCTCCTGGGGCTGCAGGCGTACCTGCACCAGATGAAGGGCCAGGACAGAGCCGCTCTGCAAAGCCTTAAAGATGCTGAAGAGGAGCACGAGAGACCTGGCGAGGAGCCCCCGAGAGCACACGCGGCCGCGTCTGTGGTTATCTACGGGAATTACGCCTGGCTTCACTACCTCCAGGCCTCTTATCGGGAGGCCGAAAGCTACCTGGAACGGATCGAGCAGCTCTGCCCGGCTCCCTGGGACGCACGGCTGGTCCCCTACATCCAGGCCCAGAAGGGCTGGTCCCTCCTGGCCATCAGAGCCCGTAACGGCGAACGGGCAAGAGAGTGCTTCGAGGTGGCCTTGATGCTTGAGCCAGAGAACAGAGATTTCCGTGCTGGGCTCGGAACGGCTCTTTATTTCTCCTGTTGTTACTTCTGGTATCCTGACATTGCAGAGACAGCCAGAATCCAATTGGAAAGAACCATCCTTGAGCAGCCAAATAACTACAGAGCCAAGATATATTTAGCCAAGCTACTCGAACAAGAGGATACAGAAAGATCAATTGGCTTGATAAAAGAAAGCGCAGAGAAAAGCGCCGATCCTGATGTCCTCAAAGCTTCAGCTCTGTTCTGGCTGCGACAACGATCCACAGAGAAAGCAGCTGAGGTATTGCAGCGAGCCCTGGGGCTGGATCCAGATTACCACCTTCTCTACCAAACCCTGGCCAAGTGCTATAAGCTGCAGTGGCTTAATGCGAAGGAGGAAGACAAGAATAATATATTGGAGGCAGCTATCAAGGACCTCGAGCAAATTCTTCAGAAACATCCCGACCTTGAGCTCGTGTTTGCAAAGCTGCAATTCGCAGAGCTCTGTGGGGCGAGAGACCCAGCGCAGGAAGAGAAGATCTACAAGGACCTGGAGAAGAGAAAGGACACTCTGAGCCCCAAAGGCCTTCAAGCCCTTTATCTCTACTGGGGAAGGTTCTTCCTCTACCAGAAGAGATCGCTTCACCAAGCGAAAGCAAAGTTTATGGATGGTTACAAAATTCCCCTGATGACGAGAGAGAGGAAGGAGTGTGGGCAGAGGCTGATAAAGATGGCACGGTACTACCCCCCTGCCGAGGCTGACACCTTCTACCGCTTCATCGAGGAGACCGACCGCCACCTGCCCGCTGAATTTGGTGGAACCGACCTAGACTGACAGTAGGAGCCCCTGTCAGAACACAGGGTGTCCTTCTGCAAAGCTAGAAGGCATCAAGGACTAGCGTCTGTCTGTCCGTCCCTCCCACAGCAGGCCCATCACCTCACAAGGGCTCTGTCAGCTTCTGGCACCGTCCCCGTGCTCGTCCCCAAACCACAGCCCAGCCCCAAAATGAAACGGTGAAGAACTCAGCTGCGGGGCTCTGAGCTCGATCCTTTGCAGGCGGAGACCCGTGTCGCTCCCGCGGAGGGGCGGTTAGAGCAGAACTACGTGCTGGTTTGGGCAGCGAGAGCGGCGAGTTCCCTTCAGCGATCAGATTTCCATCATTTGCACAAATAAGCAGATGGCTTCCTCCATAAGGTCACCGAGTGCTGAGGGGCCGTGAGGAGGGTGAAGCCCTCGTGTTCTGGACAGAGGTGGTCCCTGGGCTGCCCACCTGCTTAAACACACAAATGTAGCAAGAGCTAGCTGCTAATTAAGGAGCACATAGTTAATTGTATGCACATTAAGTGTGTGTGTGCGCACTCGCCCCTGTGAGCATAAAACAGGGGCTTTGCTTTCTTGTGCTTAAGAGGAATCACCAGGACCAATGTACTCACCCCTGTGTCTGGAGCCAAAGTGAGGCTTTTAATATTCATCAATAAATATTCCAAATTCTTTTCCACACCGTGTCTGGTGTCTTCTTGCAGCCTAAAGCGAGCAGAGCAGGGTCTGCCAAAGACACACCCTGGGTTCAGCTCTTCCTCTGCAGGATCCTCTCTGCTCCCAGCTCCCACCCTAGGGGGGGAGTGGGCGCCCCCCACCCCCCCATTGCAGGCACCCTCCCAGGCAGTGCCAGGGCCCTGCCCTCGGGAGGGCGTCCCCAAGGCCCCTCTGTCCCTGGGGAAGGGAGCAGCAGCCCCCCAGCTGCTGCAGTGGGTCAGAGCTGGGGTGCAAACACGGCTGGAGAGGACTTCACCCTTCAGCTCCTGCAACCAAGGGGCAGAGACACATCCCAGGCCACGCGTTCAGGCCAAGGCTATTCCACTTCTTGCTACAACACCGAGGAGCAAAATGTTTTCTCCTCCCTCCCCCAGACCCATCAGCCACAGCCCAGAAGCTGCACTCGGGGCAGGAGCTGCTCAGAGCACAGCACCTCGCTCCACAAGCCCTGGTTACAACTCTGGAACGAGTTAAAAAACACGAACCAGAACCACAGGTCATGTAGAATCATGGATTTACTTAACTGCACAGGTCAGGACAGTCTTCCAGAACTCAACTAAAAAAAAGCAGCAATTTGATAAACTTTTGTACGTGTTCCACGGGTGGGTTCGGTTGGTTGGTTTTTTTTTTCCACACAGCACTGAGCAAGGTCACATACCCCCATTTGGGGAAGCAGGGACCCCCAAAAGCAAGGGTGCTACTGAACTACCCTCATCCCCCCCACCAGTTTAGAACACCCAGGAACCCTTTGGGTTTGCATCTACAGACAGTCCTTTACAAAATTTCCCCCTCGTAAACACAGTATCAGGAAATATTTCTTCAGAAGCAGCCCCAGTTCCTCTGGCAGTTAATTAAGAGTGTCTTTGGCCCATCAGACAAAGGCAACACTGCCATCCTCAGGACTGCAGGCTGCACCACAAGGCAACAATTTCATACTGGTGGGCTGCTGGAAGGACTGGATCCTGACAGAGTTCCCCTGGGGTGTCACTGCTGTGTGAAAAACAATCTATAGAGTTTAAAAAAAAAAAAATAAATTAAAAAAACTCCCATATGACTGTTCTAGTTTGTATGGGTGGAAGACTGGATGCTATTGAAAAGTGTCAACGAGTTCCTCTAACATTTTTAATTAACACTTTGAACAAATCCTGTTAGTTACTTTCTTCGCCGATCCTAAATTCAGCACAACATTAGATAATAAAAATACATTGCACAATAAAATCCCATTAAAAGTTTCAGTTAAGCTGAAAGATAAAAGGAAAAAAAAAAATCTTATTATATAAGCTGCCGAGGGCCGTGGCGAGGAGTTGTGTTTCCTGTACTGGTGTATACTGGTGTGCAAATGCTGGGACGACACCGACTCCCAGCGCTGCTTCACTTCAGCATAGGAGAGGCAAAAAAGTTGCCCTGATGCCCAAGCTGGTTTGCTGACTTGCTTTTGCTCCCAAATCTAGTTCAAGAGAAGTAGAAAAATACCAGTTTGGGGATTTGGGGGTGCCGAGGTCTAAGACTCTGCCCTTCCCAGGGGTCACTCACCCCCCTCCCACGCCACGGGTTCCTCCCCTACCCCAAGAGGAGGCTCACGCTGTTACTACAGCGCTGATTAAAGGAGAGTTGACCAAGTAGTAAATCCAGGCTGCTCCCAGAACTGGGTCCAAAAGTCTAGTTTTAGTTCTCCTTAAACTAATCTCCTCGTCCCACCAGCTCCACAGCACCCGCCGGCACTTACTTGGGGGTGGTTTTGCTGAAGGTGGAACGGACCCTCTGGGACAAGGAGCTCGACGACGGCGTCTTGGAGAGCTGCTGCTCCGGAGTAGTGAGGGGTCCAAGAATGCTCACTGCCGAGAAAAAGAGGCAGCAAAGTGAGCAACACGAGGACAGCTGAAGTTTTCATTGCCATGCAAGGAACATTAGACATTCCCTAGCATCTGTCAAAAATACCAGACAAATCTGGCATTTCCTGGCACACTTTTCTTCCCTCTTCCTCCATCAAGCCTGCAGGAAGGGCTAGCTCCAAACGCTCTCACAAGCAGCTTTGATTGAGGGTCGTTAATTTTTAATACGGCAGCTGCACAGCCCGTAGAGCAGCCCCCAGGGATTTACCTTTAATATCTGGTGTCTGCGGAGTGGAGCAGGCATTGCTGTTCTCAATTACATGTGCGGGGTCAATGTTTTCCTGCTCCACGGCCATCAGCTGGCTCCAGTAGTCCCCGGGCAGCAGCAGAAGTCGCTCCACCACCTACAGAGACACCCGTGAGACACGTCGCCTCCCTCCAGAGATTCAGGTGGCTTCGTGGAGCAGGACACGTTTGCCTCCTGCTGCCCTACCTTGGGCTGTCGCTTCGTGTCCTGCAGCAGCGTCATGGGGTCAGGGTCAGGCACCGCGTGGGCCACTATTGTGGGGCCAAAGACTTTGGCCAAGTTGGTAACATCCATTTTAGTGTCTGGGCTCTGAGCCACCCTACGTTAAGAGAAAAATTAAGAGAATGTAGCTTCTCCCCTCACTTGTCATACAACTCCCCCATCCCACACACATTTCCGCCTCTGAAAAAGCAGTTTTCTTCCAGAATGAAGATTTTTATGCTCACAAGCAGCAACGAGAGCAAAATTAGAGAATCTAATCTTTCAGAACTACCAGGCCATTTGAAGGTACCTCTGCAGGTGGATCATGAGGAAAGCCAGGGTGTCCCTGTTGGCCTGAGGGAGTTCAGCAACCGCTTGGTACATGGCAGCGATACTGTTGTCCTCATCTGAGATTTCTGGTGGAATTAAAAAAAAAAAAAAAGTTTAGACCTCAGAAAGTGGTCCCCGAGGCACAGCTGTAACAGTCCCCTCAGAGCAATAGCTAGCCAAGAAACAAGGAAGCCAGAAACTCCACATGCCGTTGTAATATTTTTGTATCCTGCCCAAACACTAGAACTTGTTTCTTTCCTCATCCAAGAAAGATCTTCCCAGCACACCGTCGACACGGCCACAAGCACGAGGGCTCCACAGAGCGCTGTGCTCTGCCACTTCACGTGACCCCCAAACTCAGGGAAAGGCTTGGAGGTGTCACCTGGCAACTCCTTACCTGCAGCTTCCATAAAAGTCTTGTTTAACCGGAAAGTGAGAAGAGGCTCTTTCAGGCTGCGTAGAAAGTCCTTGAGAAGGCCGCAGATCGCATGGATATCGTCCACTTTACTGAGCAAAGGAACATTTTTTGCTCTAAGAAACTTGTCTTTCAGTTCCCTCACTGTCTTGTCACAGCCAGATATCCGGTAAAGGCCCGTCTATTAACAGAAAGCATTGCTTAGAGGCAGAACATCAACCACACGCAGAAAGCTGCATTCTTCCACTCCCACTTTCCCTCCGCTCCCGAGCGCTCTCCGCAAACACCGTTGCTCAAAGTCACCCACTATATACACCATAAATAAGAGATATTTGGGTTAACAATTTGTTTCCCTAACACCATAACCCATTTCATTAGGGCTGTTTCACACCTCTTTTTTTCTTTTTACCTCGTGCAGCCCTCGCTGCTCAATCTCATTAACACAGTGCACGATGATGGAAGGGATCATCGGAGGAGTAGAGGGGACAAAGTCCATCAAGGTCCCCTAAGAGGCAGAAAGGAAAAATAAAAACAAAACGCTCAGTCTCCAAGACGTGGCAAGTCTTAGAAATTCACAGATCTAAGCTTAAAAAACAAGCATTGTTTCTTCTTCATCAGCCCAATGCTGCAGGACTGCCTACCCAGAGCTGCCATGTTCCCAACTCAACACCCTCCTAACCGCATCCCTCCCGCCCACCACCCTGGTTACTGGAGGGTACATTTGCATTTTATTATGCAGCTCTGAGCAACAGGAGCTCCTCTGGGGAAGGCAGACTCGTCAGAGCCTCAGCACGCTCCACCTCTGCCCAAAGGGCCCCCCCCAGGCTCACCTCCCCGATGCGGACAGGAGTGCCCACCAAGGTGGGGATGCAGGGGAGGGGGCAGCGGTCCCGACACTCCGGGTGAGCCACCACACGGCAGTCTTTGCACTTCAGAGAGATTTTTCCAAATTTTACTCTCTTTCCACACGGAACACACGATTCTGGCTTGATAACCTAACGATTCAGAGCATACAGATGAGAAGAGATTAGTGCTGTGGAGTAACTCTGGAGGACTCAAACTGGATAACCACAGAGTAACACATGTCCTGACCCGTGCAGGTAACCAGTACAGTTAATACTGACTTAAGACCTAACAGCTGGTGGCCTTTCCTCCATAGCTTGACATCACACACATTTAAAAATGGAAAGAGATGCTTTTCCAAGCTCGTCCTGCCCGCAGACTTACCGTCTTCGAAACAAAATCATGCAGCCTCACTCCCGCGTTGTGCTGCGGGGTGCCAGAGCTATCAGTCTCCGATTTAGATTCCGGCTGCTTACTGCCCAGGCTTGACTCGCTGCTCCAAGGCTGCAAAGGGCCTGAAAGACAGAAGAGGGAGAGCACTGACTGCGTGGAATCACCCTCCACTCCCCATAGCCTTTGCTTTGAAAGCAAGTGCATCGTAAACCAGAGGCAGCTGCCCAGGTCCTGGCAGGAGGCAACTCTAATGTGTCAGGGTAAGCCTCCAGCCTGCTAAGCAGCTGCTTCAGGGCTAGGACAGACAGAGACAAGGCACCCACCGCTCTTCCGCTGGCTCCTCAGCCCGTATGGCACCGTCTGGATAGTGGAGATGGCCTCAATGGGGCCACCATCGTTGGGGACCATGAGAGTTGTCTTTGCCACTATGGATTCATTTCCCTGTAACAAGAAATAGGTGGTTAGTGGCAGCACCACTGACAGGACACGGGGGTTTTTCTAGTTCGTTGGCCCTAGGAGGAGGTACAAACCAGGACTGGAAGCACCCCCAGACCCAGCTGGGACCACCATACCTGGTCCACTGTGGAGCCAATGGATCTGGTTTTCTTCTGAGGAGTTGGTGGGCCTTCAATGAACTGCCTGGAAGACCGCTGGAAAGATACAGAACATTTGTGTCTGTGAAGCAGGGATGCTGTTAACTTAGTGTTATACTACTTCAGCATAACTAGAAGGACTGAATTGTCTGCACAAACCACAGATGCATTAAGTTCTTCCACAGTATCTGTTCTTCATGGCAACCTCGAGGTTGCCACGAAGTATCAGGAGGCCTCAATATACTGCTCTTTCAAATAATTCTCCTAGCGAGCTTTATGATCCAATTCAGGAAAAAATAAAAGGAAGAAGAAAAAAACACCCAAACAAAACCACACACACAAAATCAGGTGACAAATAAGCAAGTCCCAGACTCTTCTCAACTCCGCCAGTGCTGATTTCAGGCTGTCCTTTCCCCCCTGTGCTTACCACATCATACAGCAGACCAGAACAAGCACAAGCTCTTTTATAGAGCAGAAAAATATTAACTTCCGACATGATTTTCCCTGTTCTGGCAGCTGTTAATAATCAAGTGCTCTCCGCTTTCAAAATCTAGGCCGTAAGAGAACAAGATATGCAGAACTCCAGTCATTTTCAGTAGACAAACAGCAACCATCAGAATGAACTTTCGATTTAAATTCACACGGCAGGTCTGAATTCCAGCTGCAGCACATCCATCCCAAGTTTGATTGTGATTAGTGGCTGAGACATCATTAGAGGTGGCAGTGAGATGACAGATGGTGACATTGTGTCAGCTAAGGCTAACAAAGGAATCTGTTTGAAGGGGAAGAATTGAACATACCCGCTTCTCTCTCCTTTTCAGTCTGACAGCTTTCACCACAGAGGAGTCCCAGTCCTGTGGGAAATGCACAACGCTGGTTAGCTCAGGGTAAATACCACACAGCCTCTGGCCAGGACTTTCATTAAGTTTTAGCCAATGGTACACCAGAGAAATGCAAATCAGCTCTACCAGTTTAATACCACAGTAACCTACACACGAGAGGTCTCTAGAGATTAACCCACACCCCTAAGGTTTTACAGCGGAGGAAAACTTTAGAACTTGGAGTTACATTACCAGTGAATCATCAGTCTTGTCAAAGCTGATGTCTGACAGAATTGAGCCAGATTCATCTATTGTAGACAGCCTAAAAAAACCCCAAAAAATAAAAATCAAAAATTAGAAGAAATTTGTATCAGTTTGGCTTTCAGTCAGCCATGGTTCCAGAACAATCCTTCTGACTCAGAAGAGCTGTATTTCAAGCTGGAACAAAAAGTAAAATTCTGTCGATACGGGCGCAGTACGTGTCAGAGGTACACGGCTGGATTGATATTTGACACTTATTTTGCTTCGACAAAAATGCAATTTTGCCTACCTCTTGTTGCCTGAACCCCCTACAGAAACCTGTGGCCTGTTAAGAAAGGCGAGGGCAGACTTCTGTTCTTCACTTAGCTGAATGCTCCCGGAGGCATCACACATGAGCAGCTCCCGAATCAGTTGCATTTGCCGCTCCTGCAGAGGTAGATGATATCAGAGGCTGCCACAGCATAAACCGTGTTTTAATTACTTCACGAACCAACCTCAAGTGTACAGTGTAAGGTAACGGCAGGTAACGCACAAGCGACAGGGAATGGCAGCTCAGCTCCAAACAGCAGCCACTTGTCTTTTTCCAGACCAAAGCAGATGCCTGCTGCCAGGAGCCAAGCCAAGTTATTGTTGTTGCATTTTTTTTTTTCCTCCCAGGGGAAAAAAAAAAAAAAAAGTTATCATGAGCACCAGTCCTTATTTTCCATAGATCAATGCAGTTTAATCACCTTGTCTCCACACTCTAAAGAGCTAACGGGTAATAAAGGAATTACTCACCAGCTTTTCACAGTCCGTTTCAGCTTTTTGCCTTCGTTTGATCTCCACATCCACTTGATTGCGAGCATGTTTTAGCTTCACGTCCAAAGCGCTCCGTTCTGCTTCAGTTTTCATGAGAAGATCTTTGTACCTGCCAAGCTCATGCTCCGTTTTCTGCCATTTTCTGCGATGCTCTTCAAAGTTCTTCGCTAACTGAATAAACTCTGGAGAAAGAGACACGTAAATCTTCAGCTACCCAGGCAAGCAAAGGAGATGCAGCAGCCCTCCCTCCCCTGACAGCAGATATCTATTAATATAACCGGCTCTTGACTGAAGAGTGGAGAAGCCAGCCTTTTGGCAAACCCACCCACACTGTAGATGTTCATGAGATCTCGCATTTTTCAGACCAAGTCCTTCACGCCAGCATCAGGCAGAAAAGCTACAACACGAGACCCCACGTGGATGATGCTACAAGCAGAACGTGGCCCTGCCTAGTTCAGCCCGTGACTTCGTGTTTCTAGACACTGAGAGGGCCCTCGAATCTGACTGCCCGTGGCAGCCTCATTACCCGCAGCATCACCAACAGACTGCTCAATATCAGCTAATAATGCCTGCTTGCGTGTTTATGTTCTCACAGCAAAGACAGCACAGCCCACCTCAGAAACAGAACTTACGATATTCATTTCCTTCACTTAAAACTTCAGCCTGGCGCATAAGTTGATCGTGCAGACTCCGTAAGTTCATCATCGCAGCCTCCACCTTCCTGCCAAGAAACCAGAGCTAAACAGCCCAGCCCTTTCTTCCCACTCCCAAACAGAAAACGTGTTACCAGCCCCAAAAGCCTCCAAATTACTGATAGTTTTTTAAGCCAAGTTTTAGAAGCCACACAAAAAAATACATTAAGAGTTATGTTTGATGGAGATAAACACATCTAAATTCTTTTGCAGGGAATGAAGATCCTGGCCCCTCCACAGTTTACAGACAGCAGAGCCACGGGGAGCAGCAGTACAGTTCCCCATCTTATTGCTGAAAATATTCTCGAGTATAGTACAGAGGTAAAACGATCCCAAATTGTTCTCCTTCTGGAAGGCTGCAGAACACAGCCCATGCCCTGTATACGAATAACTTGGGACTATATAGGCCACTAAAAATCCGCAAGTTTTCAGAGCTTCATAAGATAAAAATAGGAGCAACATTCTGGGGAATTTTAATACAGTTTTAAATTTAGCTGCATTTTAAGTTACAGCTCCTCCTGCAAATCGCTGTTAAAATTCCGCCAGTCAGCACATTTTCCTCAAACAGCAGCGACAATGGCATAAACAGAAGCAACGAAGAGGAAAGTCTCCAGCTCAGCAACACAGAAAATTACTTCACTAATACAAGAGGTTGCTGGGGCACAGAGGACAACCTCGATGAGTGAATTCGCACCAGGAGCGGGCAGAACCGGGAGAGGTGCCAGGAGGGAGCACAAGGCCCAGCTCAGGGCTCACGGTGGGAAGCTTTGAAATATTTGATCCGCAGTTACAGGCTCCACAGCTGCGGCATCTCGGGGCTCTCTACAGCCCGCGGACTGCACGGAGCGGGAAAGCTTGCTGCTGAAAGCCTCTCCTCTTCCTCATATTCCGCTTAACTCCTCGCAAAGGGAGTTTTTCGTGCCTTAATTACCAGATCATTACCCCGGAGGCCGGGGGACCGAGGCCAACCCGTAGAGGCCCCCCCCAGCCGCCTCCCCGGGAGGCAGCGAGGGAAAAGGTCTCTGAGGAAACCGCCACCGGGCCCGCCCAGCGCCAGGAAGGCGGCTCCGCGCTGCCCGGCCCGAGGCCCCGAGGCGCCGGTACCGAGGCC